ATGTAATTGGCTGATCAGCAATTTATGTTACCAAGCAATTGGTAACATGGCTTCAATTATCACCTCTATGCCGACGACACCCAAATTTACCTCTCCACCCCCCCATCTCACTCCCCCTCACTCTCTGCCCGCATCGCCCACCTCCTAAACGACATATCAGACTGGATGTCACTCCATTTCCTCAAACTTAACCTGTCCAAAACCGAGCTCCTGGTCTGCCGCCACCCCCCCCCCCCCCCCCCCCATCCTCTCCATCATTGTCACCCTGGGCTCCCACCTCTCCTTCCTACCCCACATCTAACTGCTATCTAGATCTTGCAGGCTCCACCTCCGCAACATCTCCAAGATACGCACATTCCTCACCCCAGACACCACCAAACAACTCGTACACTCCCTCATCATCTCACGCCTGGACTACTGCAATTCCCTTCTCTCTGGTCTACCCAAACGAACGCTATCCCCACTCCAGTCGATCCTAAACTCAGCAGCTAGACTCATCCACCTCACCAACCGCTCCACATCTGCCTCCCCCCTCTGCCAATCCCTTCATTGGCTCCCGATTGCCCAACGCATCAAATTCAAACTGCTAACTCTGACCTACAAAGCCATTCACAACGCCACCCCAAACTGCATAACTGACCTGATACCCAAATACTACCCTACCCGTGCCCTCCGATCCTCACAGGACCTCCTACTCTCTAGCTCCCTGGTCTCCTCCTCCCCACGGCCGATTGCAGGACTTCTCTAGGACTTCCCCCATCCTCTGGAACTCCCTACCCCAATCCATCAGACTGTCACCCACCCTCCTCACCTTCAGGCGCACCCTGAAAACCCTCCTCTTCAGGGAAGCCTACCCCAACCTCACCTAACACCCGACCTCACCTAACAACCTCCTCCACTCCCCCACCACTCCATCCCCCACAGCCATCTCCTCCTGTATCACCTTCCCCTCCCTCCTAGATTGTAAGCTCGAATGAGCAGGGCCCTCGAACCCCTCGTGTACTGTTTTGTTACTGTCTTGTCTCATGTTCTGTCCCCCTTGCTACTGTACAGCGCTGAGCATACCCTTTGGCGCTATATAAATACTGTATAATAATAATAATAATTGAATAAGTGTACTGGATGGACGTTTGTCTTTTTTCAGCCAGACTAACTATGTAATTATGTAACTACGTGTACCTAATAAAGTGGCTGATGAGTGTAAACGTCACTTTTTGATAGAGTTCAATAATAGAGAGTTCATGCAGAGGCCAGGGCTGTTGGCCTTCTTGCAGCCGTTGGGCTTTGAATCTTCAAGCTCCACCTTTGCTACCATTCAAAAAGTGCACAAGATTTTAAGAACACCTGCCAGCAAGGTTTTGGCTTAGTCATTCTTCAAATATTTGATTCCAGAAGAATTTTCTGTTTTATTAGGGATATTGTCAGGAGTAATTCGGGCTGCCTGCCCCCTACCATTAGTCTTACTTTGCTGGTATGAAACGGATAGTTTAATTTTATCAATGCATTGTGAGAACATAGAAAGCCGTTTACCTAAGAAAGGAATTGAGTTTAGCATTTATTAGACGAGGCGGAGGCTGGGAAAAGACATTGTGAGCTCTGAATTATAGCAAACTATTAGACCTTAAAATACTTTGAGACTATAAGTGTAATATAGATATTGCCAAATGGTTTATGTCTTGTACCTATTCATAGGGAAGGCCAAGAGAAAAGGACAACATAACATTGTTGATACCTCAGATATAAGGAATTTACACTTAAGGATTTTAAAAATGCAGCTGTTTCAATGAGTCCTGAATACATATTGAGATATTACAGAACAGCAAACCATTCACCAGTCAAGCTCAAGAGAAGCTTTCAAGGTCCCCAGCAAAGTCATACAAACATACGACAGGGGCAGTTTATTGGCAGCCAATTAGTTGGCATGTTTTGGGCTGTAGAAGGATGCTAGACCACCTTTAAAGTCACCTCCATGCCTGCATCCCTTTATCTCACCCCATACACTTGGAAGAAACAATTTGCCTTATATCGGGAGGATGTTTACTGACTCACGCAAGTGGTTCTTGAAGATATGGAACCCTTGAAACTAATATGCACATCCTTCATTTCCAATCGATAGCCTGACACTTCTATAGTAAGTGCAATGATGGAACTGAGCCTGGTGGGACTCCAACACTATATCCTCCCCCATTTTTCTTCTTATGCCATTCCCTACCTACTTGATCTCTCTCTCTATGTCTTTTTTCTAGATCTTCTAGACCTCTAATCCTACTGAACATCCTTGGGATGAAAGAGAAAACCAATGGTGAGCTAGGTCTTCTTATCCAACAACATCACCTAACCTCACAAATGTTCTTTTGGGTAAATGGGCACATATTTCCACAGACACACCCTAAAAGCCTTCCCTGAAGAGTGGAAGATGTAATATTCACAACGAGAGAGTGAAATGCATATGAACGCCCATGGTTTTGGAATGTAGAACAGCTGTGAAGTCCTACCATGATGTCAAGGTCCTACCTTTTCCCAGAGATTGTGCGGCTTCATGTACTGGCGTCCATCTTGGATTTCTGCAGAGCATGGTGGGAGTCTTTTATGAGGTCCATCCCCCAGAGGGGTGTGGCTGAGTACATATAAGCCTGTGATCCGCACATGCTCTTTGCACTTGTGTCTTGTGTCTTTGTGTTGCTACAACTCTGTGTATACTCTCGTGACTCTTCTGGTATCTGACTCGGCTTGTGACTGGACCCTTCTCTGTGTTTTCCTTTGATCTGACCTTCCGTTGCTGAACCCGGCCCGTGACCTGTGATTCTTGTCTACTGTTCTGTACCGTTTTGTCCCGTTGTTGTCGACCCGGCCCACCTGACTATGCTATTGTCATTCCTACCAGCTGCACGCCATTGGCGGCGGCCATTACCACAGCCGGGGTTGTCTCAGGGGCCGCGACCTGGTTCCTGGCTGCGTCAAGTCCATCTCCACCATCAGCGGCCCTGGTGAAGGGCAGCCTGGGACTTAGACTCCGCTCCCTGAGGGACTTCGGTCTGTTGGTGGTGGTTGTCGTCAGTCAGTGCATTACCCTGCCACTAGGCCTACCTGTCCGTTCCACAGCCCTGCCCTGACACATGACTTCTCCAGGTAGGTTTTTTTTCTCCATGATTTTTCATGCTCAGCTGAATGGCCACTTTTAGTGACTCCTCGAACTTGATCCTTGAACAGCAAACCATTCACATTGGTCAAGCTCAAGAAGAGCATATGCTACAAGGTCCCTAACAAAGTCATACACACATACGATAGAAACAGTTTATTGGCAATTAATTAATTTACGTGTTTGGGGCTATAGAAGGCTGCTAGACCACCTTTAAAGCCTCCTCCTTCCCTGCATCCCCTCATCCCACCCCATAAACTTGGAAGAAACAATTTACCCCATATGAGGAACTAGTTTACTGACTCACGCTAGTAGTTCTTGAAGCTATGGAATCCTTGAAACCAATATGCGTATCCTTCATTCCCAATGGATAGCCTGACACCTCTAAAGCAACTATCAAGATGGAACTGAGCTGGTGGGATTCCAACACTATACCCTCCCCTGCTTTTCTTCTTATGCCATTCCCTACCTACTTGATCTCTCTCTACTTCTCTCTTCTAGACCTCAGTTCTACTGAACATCCTTGGGATGAAATGTATTTAGTTTATTGGCAATCAATTAATTAGACACACCATACAATCTTGTGAAAAGCCTTCCCTGAAGAGTGAAAGATGTAATATTCCCAACAAGAAAGTCAAATCCACATGAATGCCCATGGTTTCGGAAAGCAAAACAGCAGTGAGGTCCTACCAGGGGCGGACTGACCATTTGGGAACTCAGGCGCTGCCTGAGGGCCCGGGGTCAGTAGGGGGCCCCATGAGATGCCCCTGGTAACTTTTTCATAGGCTTTTTTGAGTTTGGGCAAGGAAACAGGGGCCCCATGATCCCCTATTGCCCGGGGGGCCCCATGAGTTATCAGTCCGCCCCTGGGTCCTACCATGACTTTTTTAGGTTAGATGGTCTATAGCAGGGGTGGCCAACCTGCTAGCCACCCCTGGTCTATAGCACAGGTATGTTTCTACATCATGGCAATCCCTCACTCCCACCCTGCTTCCCTAATGGATCACTGTTGTTTCTGAATCTAGGTTATTAAAAAAAAAATGTTTACAAAACATTTCAGGAAGAAACTAATTAGCGTTTTAATTACATTTAAACCATTTAAGAAATTTTTTTTTATGGGATCAGATTTGTTTTCAGAGGAACGACTTAGTTAAGATGAACATTTCAGAGGGAATAGGGTCTTTATTCAAAAAAAAAAAAAAGCTTGGCAAGGGAGCAACAGCAGCAAACTGCTTCGTAAACACCACAACCAAACGACTTTCCTTCCATCCCTTCGATGTCCAAATGAAAAAAGCCGCAAGAATGGCGGCAAATTTAGCGTGAACTCTGATTGAACTGGAGTCCAGGGGCACGCTCACCTACATCGACTGCCAAGTCCGACGAGGAGAGCATGTAGTAAATAATTCAATTATAAGGCAAAATACACTTTATTTTTTCGCATTGCCAGATTTTACTAGTACGGGGGAGCTTTGTCAGCTTTAATTAAATAATCTTCTCTCCGCTCTGCCTGCAAACAATCCTATTTTCCGGCTGCTTTTCATCTCGTCGGCGTTCCGGCTACCTGGTGTTCGTGTGAGTAATTTTACCCTCTGGGGCTGTACTATTAAATGTGATGATGGTGCCTTCAGCGTTTTCAGATCTGCAGCCTAGCTTGTCACCCAGAAGGGGACACTTCATAGGAATGCTAATTATTACAATATTGGCCACATGTGTTTGGAGTTAGCACCAAAAAAACCCTAATTTGATAGATAAATAGGGAAAAAAAATGTCTGGCTGCAATGTGTCACTTGATGGATCTACCTCCTGCAAGGTGAGGCACAGGAGTCTGATTCAGGGCAAGCCAGGGGCGGACTGACAACTCATGGGGCCCCCCGGCAATAGGGGATCATGGGGCCCCTGTGTCCTTGCCCACACTCAAAAAAGCCTATGAAAAAGGTACCAGGCAGGGGCGGACTGACAACTCATGGGGCCCCCAGGCAATAGGGGATCATGGGGCCCCTGTGTCTTTGCCCAAACTCAAAAAAGCCTATGAAAAAGGTACCAGGGGCATCTCATGAGGCCCCCTACTGACCCCGGGCCCTCGGGCACTGCCTGAGTTTCCAAATGGTCAGTCCGCCCCTGGGGCAAGCCACTGTCTACCTGGTAAGGTAAAACCAGGGCAGAGGCACATCTCCAGTCAGACATTTATTTTATTTATTTATTTCAGGTACTTATATAGCGCTGACAATTTACACAGCGCTTTACATATATATTGCACATTCACATCAGTCCCTAACCCTCAAGGGCGTACAATCTAAGGTCCCTAACCCTCAAGGGGTGTACAATCTAAGGTCCCTAACCCTCAAGGGGTGTACAATCTAAGGTCCCTAACCCTCAAGGGGTGTACAATCTAAGGTCCCTAACCCTCAAGGGGCGTACAATCTAAGGTCCCTAACCCTCAAGGGGCATACAATCTAAGGTCCCTAACCCTCAAGGGGCATACAATCTAAGGTCCCTAACCCTCAAGGGGCGTACAATCTAAGGTCCCTAACCCTCAAGGGGCGTACAATCTAAGGTCCCTAACCCTCAAGGGGCGTACAATCTAAGGTCCCTAACCCTCAAGGGGTGTACAATCTAAGGTCCCTAACCCTCAAGGGGTGTGCAATCTAAGGTCCCTAACCCTCAAGGGGTGTACAATCTAAGGTCCCTAACTCACATTCATACATACACATACTAGGGCCAATTTAGACAGGAGCCAATTCACCTACCAGCATGTCTTTGGAGTGTGGGAGGAAACCCACACAGGCACAGGGAGAATATGCAAACTCCAGGCAGGAGGTGCCGTGGCTGGGATTTGAACCAACGACCCTAGTACTGTGAGGTGGAAGTGCTAACCATTTAGCCACTCTGCTGCCCAGACATGACAATATTCTATTTACAGTGACACATCCTACCTGCTAAGTAGTCCTCATTTGTATATTCATTTTTATCCCATGCACATCAAGGACCCTCTAGGACCCTCTGGCAGTTGCATACCAGTATCGGGACAGGGTCATCAGGCATCCAGGGCAGGGGCGGACTGACAACTCATGGGGCCCCCGGCAATAGGGGATCATGGGGCCCCTGTGTCCTTGCCCAAACTCAAAAAAGCCTATGAAAAAGGTACCAGGAGCATCTCATGGAGCCCCCTACTGACCCCGGGCCCTGGGGCAGTGCCCAAGTTTCCAAACGGTCAGTCCGCCCCTGGTCCAGGGCAAGAATCCAGATGTGCAACCCTCTCCTGCACTGTTAATAAATGCTGTAGAATGGGTGTAACACGCTGCATCTATTCTTTGCTGCCTTGCTGTGCTGCGCCCTGGGCAGTTGACCCACCTGCCCACCCCTTGTCCCAGAACTGATGGTATTCAGAAAGGCCCGCTAACTGTTTGCATACAGAATAAAACAGTTATGGTCAGAAGCCTACAATGTGCCTCTAATGCTGGGTATCTAGATCCCTGGCGCTCAACCAGTGGCCCTTTTTTTGTGGCCCTTGAGGCAGGGGTGGACTGACAACTCATGGGGCCCCCGGGCAATAGGGGAACATGGGGCCCCTTAGTCCTCGTCCACACTCAAACCACACCCAAAAAAACCTAAGGGGCATCTCATGGGGCCCCCTACTGACCCCGGGCCCTCGGGCAGTGCCCGAGTGCCAAAATGGCCAGTCCGCCCCTGCCTTGAGGCCATGATGACACTCATCTGTGCTTTCTTATTGCTTTGTTGTAGCCTTGGTCTATAGCAGCCTTTCTCAACCAGGGTGCCCAGGCACCCTCGTGTGCCTTGAGGTTTCTTCAGGGGTGCCTTGGCAAAATGTCTAACAGTTGAACAAAACTTGTATACAAGCCAGCAGGTGGAACAAACCTGTCTTTAAGTCACAGGTTTTCATTGTGCGCCATTACGATCTTCTAGCCACCAGCAACCTGACAACCAATGACATCATCAGTTAAAAAGGAGGATGTCAGTTGACTGCACAGCATCCTTGTTTGACCCTCCCCCGCCCTCTCCAGCAGTGCTGGGGTCACATCAGCTCAGTGATGGAGTAAAACTGAGGGAGAAGAGAAACATGGGAATACTAGTCAGGACCAGTGTGAAAAAATGTATTTGATTTGGAAGAATAAATTAGAATAGTTTTTTACATTTCAGGATGGGGTGCCTCGGGACTGTCCATAATTTTAGAGGGTGCCTCGGGACTGTCCATAATTCTAAAGGGTGCCTCGGGACTGTTCATCATTTTAAAGGGTGCCTTGGGCTGTCCATAATTCTAAGGGGTGCCTCGGGACTGTACATAAATTTAGAGGGTACCTCGGAACTGTCCATAATTCTAAAGGGTTCCTCAGTCTGTCTCTAACTTTAGAGGGTGCCTCGAGCTGTCTATAATTCTAAGGGGTGCCTTGGGACTGTCCATAATTTTAGAGGGTGCCTCAGGACTGTCCATAATTCTAAAGGGTGCCTCAGTCTGTCCATAACTTTAGAGGGTGCCTCGGGCTGTCCATAAGTCTAAGGGGTGCCTCGGGACTGTCCATAATTTTAGAGGGTGCCTTGGGACTGTCCATCATTTTAGAGGGTGCTTTGAGACTGTCCATAATTCTAAAGGGTGCCTCGGGACTGTCCATAATTCTAAAGAGTGCCTCGGGACTGTCCATAATTCTAAAGGGTGCCTCGGGACTGTCCATAATTCTAAAGGGTGCCTCAGGTCTGTCCATAACTTTAGAGGGTGCCTCGGTCTTTCCATAATTCTAAGGGGTGCCTCAGGACTGTCCATAATTTTAGAGGGTGCCTCAGGACTGTCCATAATTCTAAAGGGTGCCTTGGGTCTGTCCATAATTTTAGAGGGTGCCTCGGGCTGTCCATAATTCTAAAGGGTGCCTCGGGACTGTCCATAATTTTAGAGGTTGCCTCGGGACTGTTCATAATTTTAGAGGGTGTCTCGGGACTGTTCATAATTTTAGAGGGTGCCTCGGGACTGTCCATAATTTTAGAGGTTGCCTCAGGACTGTCCATAACTTTAGAGGGTGCCTCGGGCTGTCCATAATTCTAAAGGGTGCCTCAGGACTGTCCATAACTTTAGAGGGTGCCTTGCGACTGTCCATAATTCTAAAGGGTGCCTCGGGTCTGTCCATAATTTTAGAGGGTGTCTCGGGCTGTCCATAATTCTAAAGGGTGCTTCGGACTGTCCATAATTTTAGAGGGTGTCTCGGGACTGTCCATAATTTTAGAGGGTGTCTCGGGACTGTCCATAATTTTAGAGGTTGCCTCAGAACTGTCCATAATTTTGGAGGGTGCCTCAGGACTGTCCATAATTTTAAAGGGTGCCTCAGGACTGTCCATCATTTTAGAGGGTGCCTTGGGACTCTCCATAATTCTAAAGGGTGCCTCGGGACTGTCCATCATTTTGGAGGGTGCCTTGAAATTGTTCATAATCTTAGAGGGCGCCTTGACTGAAAAAAGGTTGAGAAACCCTGGTCTAGTGCAATTTCATGCAATGTCTATGTCTACTGAAGCATGGTCCCTTTCTCCAATATCTCTTATAGCATGTCCTCAATCTTTGACCATCTCATGTACTAGCCATGTAGCCTCTGACCCAGTACCAGGACAGGTTCATCCAGCGCTCAGGGCAAGAATGTGGTACTGCTCCACCTACCACCCTGGTAATGCATGCTGTAGAATGGGTTTACTGCACTGTGTACATTCTCTGCCTACTTGCTCCACTGTGCCCAGGGCAGCTGCCCCTCCTGCCCACACCCCCTGTCCCAGCCCTGCTTTGACCATATCCTGTGGTGTGTCTGCTGTTTGAAAATAAATATTATGTGTGGCCCTTGGGCAATGTCATTGGCTACACTTCAGGCCCCCCTTTTCAAGAAATTTGACCACCAGAACTAGATGCATCAATCTACATTTTAATAAGGACATGTTAGCCCAATCAAACCCTAAGGTACAGCTAAAGGCAAAGCTTTTTTTTTTCATTTTGGATATTGTAAAAGAGGGTTATTACCTCTGTCAGGTTTTTTGCCATCTGTGTCCCATTGGGGACATTTCCCTTCCCTTCCTGTCCAATATCCAAAATGGGAAGTGAGAGGAAATCCCTCCAAAGAAAACCCTGGCTGTCATCAAAACTAGTGTCCCCATTGGACAATTTCCCCTCTATTCCTGTTCAGGGGACAACATAAAATGTGGGATTTTCTTTCACTTCATTTTTGGTAATAATAGTAAACAGGGCAAATAGAGAGGGTAAATTTCCCTAAAGGGGGGAAAGGCAACAATAAAAACCTGACAGGGGTCCTAATCCATCGCCACACTTTCCAAAACTAAGAAAAACTGCTCTTACGTATAATTTAATTCAAACTATTTTTTTTTCCGATTGTCATACAAGTGTTGGCAGGCAGGAGGGAGCATTCAGCCTCCTGTACCTCCAGTGATCAGACTGCACATTGTATCAAGTCACAAGTTGAGGGGCTGATCTGTGTCAGACATTTGTGAATACAACCACAGTGGCTAAATGGTTAGCCCTTCTGCCTGTTAGGACTAGGGTCCTTGGTTTGAATCCCAACCATGGCACCACCTGCCTGGAGTTTGCATGTTCTTCCTGTGCATGCATGGGTTTTCTCCAGGTACTCTGGTTTCCTCCCACACTGCAAAGACATGATGGTAGGTGAATTGGCTCCTGTCTAAATTGGCCCTAGTATGTGTATGTATGAAAGTGAGTTAGGGACCTTAGATTGTACACCCCTTGAGGGTTAGGGACCTTAGATTGTACGCCCCTTGAGGGTTAGGGACCTTAGATTGTACACCCCTTGAGGGTTAGGGACCTTTGATTGTACACCCCTTGAGGGTTAGGGACCTTAGATTGTACGCCCCTTGAGGGTTAGGGACCTTAGATTGTACGCCCCTTGAGGGTTAGGGACCTTTGATTGTACACCCCTTGAGGTTAGGGACCTTAGATTGTACACCCCTTGAGGGTTAGGGACCTTAGATTGTACACCCCTTTGAGGGTTAGAGACCTTAGATTGTACACCCCTTGAGGGTTAGGGACCTTAGATTGTACACCCCTTGAGGGTTAGAGACCTTAGATTATACACCCCTTGAGGGTTAGGGACTGATGTGAATGTACAATATATATGTAAAGTGCTGCATAAATTGATAACACTATACAAGTACCATAAATAAATAAAATAAATGTCTGACTGGAGATGTGCCTCTGCACTGGTTTTACCTCACCAGGTAGACAGTGGCTTGCCCCAGGGTGGGACTGACCATTTGGAAACTTGGGCACTGCCCGAGGGCCCGGGGTCAGTAGGGGGCCCCATGAGATGCCCCTGGTACCTTTTTCATAGACTTTTTTGAGTTTGGGCAAGGACACAGGGGCCCCATGATCCCCTATTGCCTGGGGGCCCCATGAGTTGTCAGTCCACCCCTGCCTGTAAATGTTATAATGACACATTACTGAGCACCAGGGGCGGACTGACCATTTGGAAACTCAGGCACTGCCCGAGGGCCTGGGGTCAGTAGAGGGCCCCATGAGATGCCCCTGGTACCTTTTTCATAGGCTTTTTTCAGTTTGGGCAAGGACACAGGGGCCCCATGATCCTCTATTGCCCGGGGGCCCCATGAGTTGTCAGTCCGCCTCTGCTGAGCACGCATTCACTTCACATGATCCAGCATTGAACCAACACTGCTGAATTCTTAGCATGCTACACTTACCATGATACAAATGTAGCTGTCTTTAGTGTGTTACTTGATTCTAGAGCTCACTTCAGGATTTTCATTTGTTTCTAATGACAAATAAAGATGCAAAGGACATCTAGAATACACAGCACTGCCCTTTTTTTTGTTCCCTGAAGTAAAATCTAAAACATCCATTAGGTGGCAGTAGAGGGCAAATCTCTCCCCCATTTGTTTCACTGAACCAGTTGTCTGATACAAAGTATCCAGGACAGAGAAATAATAATGAAAAAAGCCCTCAGAGCTCTCTTTTACCAGATCTATACTTATTGCTTTCAAAAATACTTTCAGAATTCTAATAACGTAGATCCTTCCCTGCTACCGGGCACGTCAGTCAGCCATTGGGGTGATTTTCCAGCCATTTCTTTACATTTTACGATACAGAGCCCAGTAGAGTCTTAGCACCAGGGGCAGACTGACCATTTAGCCACTCGGGCACTGCCCGGGGGCCCGGGGTCAGAAGGGGGCCCCATGAGAAGCCCCTGGTACCTTTCATAGGCTTTGTTGGGTGTGGTTTGAGTGTGGGTGAGGACACAGGGGCCCCATGATTTCCTATTGCCCGGGGGCCCCATAAGTTGTCAGTCCACCCCTGCTTAGAACAGAAGATATTCACATCTCCTTCTATCACATATCCCACAAATAAGAGGATTTTTCATTATTTAAGGACAGTGGGTGGAGTCATGCAATTGTTTTTCCTTTTTCTATGCGCCTATATGGTTATGCTGGCTGGTTGGGTCCCAAATCTTGCTTGTTATTGGGAAGTGGAGCAAAAATGGACCAACGGCCAATAAACAATGTTACAAGGGGACTTGGAACAGCAAAAACTGCTGTTACTGATAAACTGCATTATATGGGCAGCACGGTGGCTAAATGGTTAGCACTTCCACCTGGCAGTACTTGGGTCGTTGGTTCAAATCCCAACCATGGCACCACCTGCCTGGAGTTTGCATGTTCTCACTGTGCCTGCGTGGGTTTCCTACGGGTACTTGGTTTCCTCCCACACTCCAAAGACATGCTGGTAGGTTAATTGTCTCCTGTCTAAATTGTCCCTAGTATGTGTATGTATGTATGAATGTAAGTTAGGGACCTTAGATTGTACACCCCTTGATGAGGGTTAGGGTTAGGGACCTTAGATTGTACGCCCCTTGAGGGTTAGGGACCTTAGATTGTACGCCCCTTGACGCCCCTTGAGGGTTAGGGACCTTAGATTGTACGCCCCTTGAGGGTTAGGGACTGATGTGAATGTGTACAAGGGTATATTGTATGTAAATGCTCTGCGTAAACTGACGGCGCTATATAAGTACCTGAAATAAATATCATATGTCTTTTTTTTTAGTTCCATTTTAACCACTTCAAGTCCGGACAGGGGCGGACTGACCATTTGGAAACTCGGGCACTGCCCGAGGGCCTGGGGTCAGTAGGGGGCCCCATGAGATGCCCCTGGTACCTTTTTCATAGGCTTTTTTCAGTTTGGGCAAGGACACAGGGGCCCCATGATCCCCTATTGCCCGGGGGCCCCATGAGTTGTCAGTCCGCCCCTGGTCCGGACACTTTCACCCCCTTCCTGTCCAGGCCAATTTTCAGCTTTCAGCGCTGTCACACTTTGAATGACAATTGCGCTGTCATGCAACACTGTACCCATATGAATTTTTTAGCATTTTTGTGAGACAGATAAAACTTTATTTCGGTGCTATTTATTCACCGCTGGGATTTTGTTTTTGCTATATAAATGAAAAAGTCCAAAAAGTTTGAAAAAAAGTGTTTTTCTTACAAAATTTTGCAAATAAATGATCTTTCTTCATAAATCTTGGCCAAAATTTATTCAGCTATCTTTTAAGTAAAAAAAAAACCAAAACAAATTAGTTTAAAACCAAAAATTATAATTTTTCAAAATTATTTTTTATTTTATTTCTTTATATTATTATTTAAGTTTTTTTTTAAACATACTGTCACCCTAGCAGTGCAGTGTCACCATGGTGACACTGTACTACTTGTGGGGGGTGATGAAGATTTTTTTTTTTTTTTTTTTACACTGATTGCTTTTACGCCCATAAAGGCTGTAAAAGCAATCATTTCTCCTTCTCTCTGAGTGCATTCTTGCAGCCATTGAGAACTACTGTGTGTGCTGTGATTGGTCACAGCTTTTCACATGGTACAAGGCTGTTGTGAATAGCCCTGTACCATGTGATCTCTGTGATCATTCACAGATTTCACACGTAGTAAGCAATGATGTCAGAAATGACATCTTGTTTACTACTGTTCATGTGATCACTGATTGTCCCATCATTGATCACATGATCACATCAATCACATCAATTGATCATTGATCACATCAGTTACTGCAAGGCAGAAGTGCTAACCACTAAGCCACTGTGCCGCCCCTTGATTAAATTAGGGTAGTATAAAAGAAGCACCAAAAAAACTGCAACTATGGTGTATGGTTCATATGGCGTTTAACCTCTTCGCACAAATTTGAGGCCTCCCGGCATCTGGGCCTTGACGCCGAGCGGCCACACATTTGCGTGCAACTAAGAAAAACATATGTGCTGAGAGTGTGCGCCCTGCGTGCTCCCAGCATACATGTCCAGTACTCACGGAAAGGTCCCGATCTCTTCTTTCGATCGGGACCTTTCCCGATCATGTGACCACCGTGACGGCGAATCTTCTTAATTCCAGAAAAAAAGATTGTAGCACTTAACAGCTTAAATTATTATTATTTTTTTTTTATTAAATTCTTAAATTTATTATTAAATAATAATAATTTAAGCTGTTAAGTGCTATAATCTTTTCTGGAATTAAGAAGATGGGGCCCTCAGTAGACATCTTGTGGCCCCCATGTGCTTCTTTTATCCTACCCTAATTTAATTGAAAAATAATTTAAAAAAAAGGTAAATAATAAGAAAATAATTAATTTGAATTTAATAATTTAAGCTGTTAAGTGCAAAAAAATTTTTTTTTTCTGTAATTAAGAAAATGGGGCCCTCATTAGAGATCTTGTGGCCCCCGTAAAGATGTAGTCCTCTCAGCATCAAGGCCCAGATGCCGGGAGGCCGCACATTTGCACGAAGAGGTTATATGAACCATACACCATAGTTGCAGTTTTTTGGTGCTTCTTTTATCCTACCCTAATTTACTTGAGGGGCGGCGGCACAGTGGCTTAGTGGTTAGCACTTCTGCCTTGCAGTCAGGGGCGGACTGAGAACTCATGGGGCCCCCGGGCAGTAGGGGATCATGGGGCCCCTGTGTCCTCGCCCAAACTCAAAAAAGCCTATGAAAAAGGTACCAGGGGCATCTCATGAGGCCCCCTACTGACCCCGGGCCCTCGGGCAGTGCCCGAGTTTCCAAATGGTCAATCCGCCCCTGGTGCCAAGCAGTGGTGGACTGACAACTCATGGGGCCCCCGGGCAATAGGGGATCATGGGGCCCCTGTGTCCTTGCCCAAACTCAAAAAAAAGCCTATGAAAAAGGTACCAGGGGCATCTCATGGGGCCCCCTACTGACCCCGGGCAGTCCGCCCCTGCTTGCAGCAATTGGGTCATGGGTTCGATTCTCAACTATGGCGCCTCCTGCATGGAGTTTACATGTTCTCCCTGTGTTCACGTGGGTTTCCTCCGGGTACTCTGGTTTCCTCCCACACACCACAGACATGCTGGTAGGCTAATTGGTTCCTGTCTAAATTGTCCTAGTTTCATCCCTGGCCATGTGGGATCTCCTGCATGGTAGGGGTTGGGGAAAGACCTGGCAACCTACCCTGTAAAATAATTTCTAAGAGAATTCATGGAAGAAGTCGCTTGCGAGTTACGGTCCATGCCAGGGGCGGACTGACAACTCATGGGGCCCCCGGGAAATAGGGGATCATGGGGCCCCTGTGTCCTTGCCCAAACTCAAAAAAACCTATGAAAAAGGTACCAGGGGCATCTCATGGGGCCCCCTACTGACCCCGGGCCCTCGGGCGGTGCCCGAGTTTCCAAATGGTCAGTCCGCCCCTGGTCCGTACAATCACCAAGGGTCGGATACGACTGAATGGATAGATAGATAGATAGATAGATAGATAGATAGATAGATAGATAGACAGACAGACAGACAGACAGACAGACAGACAGACAGACAGACAGACAGACAGACAGACAGACAGATAGATAGATAGATAGATAGATAGATAGATAGATAGATAGATAGATAGATAGATAGATAGATAATAGATAGATAGATAGATAGATAGATAGATAGATAGATAGATAGATAGATAGATAGATAGATAGATAGATAATAGATAGATAGATAGATAGATAGATAGATAGATAGATAATAGATAGATAGATAGATAGATAGATAGATAGATAATAGATAGATAGATAATAGATAGATAGATAGATAGATAGATAGATAATAGATAGATAGATATAGATAGATTTAGATTGAAAAAAATAGATAGATTAGATAGATAAATTTAATTGAAAAAAATAATAACAAAATAATACATTTGAATTTAATTTAAAAAAATAATAATTTAAGCTGTTAAGTGCTATAATCTTCTTTTTTTCTGGCATTAAGAAGATGGGGCCCTCATTAGACATCTTGTGGCCCCCGTAAAGATGCATTCCTCTCAATATTACTTTTTGATGTGGGTTTGTGGCCCTCTCTAAGATTTAGTCCTCTGGATACGGCCTACCGTGTGAATGGAGATTACACGCTCCGAAGCTCCGACAAGGAGAGGTGTTATATTAAGACCTCCGATGAGAGTCACTGGACCAGAACAACGTTTCTTCATATCCCGAGACCAATTCAGGACCGCAGGTAGTGACAACTGCAGCGACACGTCTAAACAAGACGTAGAAGTACGAGCGGAAATTTATCACATCCGCTGTAGCGTTACGGCTCTCTCTTGTGAGACTACAAACTATCGCTTTCCGAGGGAGCCTGGGACTTGCCAGGACCATATCTCTCCATTTCCAGGATGTTGGCATTGATGTGACAAGACAGAAGCATCCAAGCTTTCTTCGCAGCAAACAATGGGAAGTGGATGGGGAGAGAACACATTTACTTGGACGGAGGCCGCCGCTAATGGCAAAGTTTAGCGGAGGCCTAAAAAGGCACTGAAGTGTGAAGAGAAGGAAGGCGATCCACCGGGCCTCTATCACTCCGCTACAAAAGGTGACGACCATGCTTGTTCTCCATCCTCATGGAGCTTTGTCCGAGTGTGAGACCCCCCCCCCCCCCCCAAAAAAAATAAAAAAATATTGGCAAGTATTTTTCACTCGGCCGGTCAATAGACAAATGTCATTGAGGAAGAAAAAAAAGGCGATCCACCGGCCCTCCTCCACCGGCCCTCCATCTCTCCAGCACGAAAGGTGATGACCATCATGTTCTCCATCCTCTTGGAGTTTTGTTTTATCTCGCAGGCCGAGTGTGAGGACCCCCCCCCCCCCACCCAATAATTATTGGCAAGTATTTTTCACTTGGCCGGTCAATAGACAAACGTCATCGAGAAAGAAAAAAAAATAAAGAAGAATTCAATATAACACTTAGTCCCTCAGCACTTGAAAACCTATCAGAGCGAGAATGCGATTCTCTCAGTAGGCTTCTACGGGAGAGCAACGGACGTCTCGAAGTGAAGGAGATGACCCCTACTTCAAAGATCACACCATGGCGTAAAGCCAACGGAGACTTCTGATAAAATATTTATTTTTCCTGCCCACGTGAAACCACTTAAGTATCGAACAGCTGGAAGAGTGCGTACGAAGAATATTTATTTTTAATAGCAAATGTTTTTATTTTCACATATTTTTTCTTAGATGACGTTACATTTTTCTAAATTACGATTTAAATACAGATTCTGCTCGGGTTTACTATTTTACGCTGAGCTAAAAACGAAGGAGTAAAAATATATATGGTTTAAAATGAAAGAATTTTTTTTTTTTTTTAATACTTTAAAATTAAAATGTGATTTTTTTTTTTTTAACCGGTTCCTGCCCAGCCTATGACCAAATGGCGGCCGGCAAAAACCCTCGCCCCTCCGGGTGGACGCCATATGGCGTACTTTCAGGCATGCACAGTTTGCATGCCAGCAGAGCCGCGATCTGTCACCGGCCGTGTACCTCGGACTCGGCCAATGACAGATCTGAGTACCAGCCCCGTTGTCAGTACCATGTGACCTGATGTGACCAATCACAGCAGGGCACATGACAGTTGTATACAATGGATGGCTTCCCATCATGCCATCCATTGTATACAAGTGTGGCTAGCTGAGAATGGTCACAGCAATCACATGCACAAGCTGGGCCAATCACAGCCCAGCTGTGTCATATGATTAGCTATGGCCAAATCACAGTTAAGTAAAAAAAAATCCTGAACAAATCGATGTCATTCAGGTAAATGCTTGCTTATAGCAAAGTAATTCTTTGCTATAAGCAAATTGTGTAAAAAAACAAAAACAAAATATAGATCACTTCTCCAAAGTAGTACAATGTTACTATGGTAACATTGTACTACTTTGGTCATAGTGAAATATGAAAAAAAATCTTTAAAAAAAAGAGAAAAAAAAGTAATAAAAAATAATTTAAAAATTTTAAAAAAAATTATAAATTTTTTTTTTTTGTACTGTCACCAGTCAGTGTCCTTGATCACCACCATGCCAGTTATATGATGACGCTGTACTGCACTGGTGACAGTATGTAAAAAAAAAAAAAGAGTGAAAATCATTTTTTTTATTTCTTCATTTCCGAAAAATTATGACAAAAAAATTACAACTTTAAAAAACTCGCCATGCCTCTTATGAAATACGTCGGACTGTCTACTCTGCAAAAAGGGGTCATTTGGGGGATATCTGTACTGTTCTGACATTTGGGGGATATCTGTACCGTCCTGACATTTGGGGGCTATCTGTACTGTTCTGGCATTTGGGGGATATCTGTACTGTCCTGACATTTGGGGGATATCTGTACTGTCCTGACATTTGGGGATATCTGTACTGTCCTGACATTTGGGGATATCTGTACTGTTCTGACATTTGGGGGATATCTGTACCGTTCTGACATTTGGGGATATCTGTACTGTCCTGACATTTGGGGATATCTGTACTGTTCTGACATTTGGGGGATATCTGTACTGTTCTGACATTTGGGGGGATATCTGTACCGTTCTGACATTTGGGGATATCTGTACTGTCCTGACATTTGGGGGATATCTGTACTGTCCTGACATTTGGGGATATCTGTACTGTCCTGACATTTGGGGGATATCTGTACTGTCCTGACATTTGGGGGATATCTGTACTGTCCTGACATTTGGGGGATATCTGTCCTGTTCTGACATTTGGGGGATATCTGTACTGTTCTGACATTTGGGGGATATCTGTACTGTCCTGACATTTGGGGGATATCTGTACTGTCCTGACATTTGGGGGATATCTGTCCTGTTCTGACATTTGGGGGATATCTGTACTGTCCTGACATTTGGGGGATATCTGTACTGTTCTGACATTTGGGGGATATCTGTACTGTCCTGACATTTGGGGGATATCTGTACTGTCCTGACATTTGGGGGATATCTGTACTCTGTATCTGTACTGTCCTGACATTTGGGGGGATATCTGTACTGTCCTGACATTTAGGGGATATCTGTACTGTTCTGACATTTGGGGGATATCTGTACTGTCCTGACATTTGGGGGATATCTGTACTGTTCTGACATTTGGGGGATATCTGTACTGTTCTGACATTCTTGGACCTCAACAAATTAGAATGTCCGTCAGTATTTCAGGATTGATCAATATTCAGATCTATACCATAGTTTGTGAACTCTATAACTTTCCTACAAACTAAACACTAATTTGGGTTATTTTCACCAAAGACATGTAGCAGAATACATTTTGGCCTACATTTATGAAGAACAATTATTTATTTGCAAACTTTTATAACAGAAACAAAGAAAAACGTGTTTTTTCAAAATTTTTGGTCTTTTTTTGTTAATTTAGCAAAAAATAAAAACCCTGGCGGTGATTAAATACCACCAAAAGAAAGCTCTAGTTGTGTGAAGAAAATGATAACATTTTAGTTTGGGTACAATGTTGTATGACCGCGCAATTGTCATTCAAAGTGTGACAGTGCTGAAACCTGAAAATTGGCCTGGGCAGGAAGGGGGTAAAAGTGCCCTGTATGGAAGCTGTTAAATTTAAAAAAAAAAAATTTTTTAAACTCTAATTGTATCTGACAATTATAGTAGTAAACACAGACCCCACTGCCATCTTCAGGTCTCTCCTAGCAATCAGGCAGTTACTGCTAATGTGGCCACCAAAAGAATCTATCATATTGATCATGAAAGCTGAAGGTTCATTCACAGAAAAAAAAACCCACTGCAGCCTGAAGATGGGTCCTTTATGACTGCTGTAATTGTCAGATACTATTAGAGATTTTTAGGCTGCTTTAAAAAGTAAACTGAAAAATAAATCTTTTTTTTTTTAAATAAAGAAAGTATTTTTTAATACTGCAATTGTATCTCACAATTACAGTGTTAAACAGGGGCCCACTGCCATCTTCAGGTCTTTCCTAGCAATCAGGTGCTACTGCTAATGTGACCACTAAGAACACCTATCGTGTTGATCGTTAAGACTGAAGGTTCATTCACAGAAAAAAAAAAACACTTCAGCTTAAGGATGTCACTGCAGTCTGAAGATGCCGGCGGATCCATGCTTACCCCTGTAATTGTAAGATTCAATTCGAGTATTATAGGCTAACCTAAAAACTAAAATTAAAACAAATATTTTTTTTAAACAAAAGAAACTATTATTTTTAATACGCTAATTGTATCTGACAATTACAGTAGTAAACAGGGACCCACAGACATCTTCAGGTCTCGCCTACCAATCATGTTGTTACTGCTAATGTTATATTTTTCCAAATAATGTGGATATTATATTGTGTTTGTGTTCCCTAACATTCATTAAAGTGTATTGTTTGCTGATGATTTATTGTTCTGTGGCCATTCCACGGGTGTGCGCCTTTTTAAAGCGTGACATGTTAGGTATCTATTAACTCGGTGCTACATCATCTTTTATATTTTTAAAAAAAGGTATTATATTGTGTTTGTGTTCACTAAAATTCATTACAGTGTATTGCCTATTAATGATTTTTTGTTCTGTGGTTTGTTGCCATTCCACGAGTGTGCGCCTTTTTAAAGCGTGACATGTTAGGTATCTATTTACTTGGTGCAACATCATCTTTTATATTTTTTTTTTTTTTTAAAAAAGGGTATTATATTGTGTTTGTGTTTACTAAAAATCATTAAAGTGTATTGCCTATGAATGATTTATTGTACTGTGGTTTGTTGTCATTCCACGGGCGTGCATGATTTTAAAGCGTGACATGTTAGGTATCTATTTACTCGGTGCAACATCAAGTTTTATATTTTAAAAAAAATGGGAATTATATTGTATTTGTGTTTACTAAAATTCATTACAGTGTATTGCCTGCTGATGATTTATTGTACTGTGGTTTGCTGCCATTCCACGGGCGTGTGCGATTTTGAAGCGTGACATGTTGGGTATCTATTTACTCGGTGCAACATCCTCTTTTATATTTTGACAAAAAAAAATGGGTATTATATTGTGTTTGTGTTCACTAAAATTCATTACAGTGTATTGCCTATAAATGATTTTTTGTTCTGTGGTTTGTTGCCTTTCCATGGGTGTGCACAATTTTGAAGCGTGACATGTTTGGTATCTATTTACTCGGTGCAATATCATCTTTTATATTTTGTCAGAAATGTGGGTATTAAATTGTGTTTGCGTTCACTAACATTCATTAAAGTGTATTGGCTGTTGATGATTTATTGTACTGTGGTTTGTTGCCATTCCACGGGCGTGCACAATTTTGAAGCGTGATATGTTAGATATCTATTCACTCGGTGCAACATCACCTTTTATATTTAAAAAAAAGGGAATTATATTGTGTTTGTGTTCACTATAGTTTATTAAAGTGCATTGCCTATGAATTATTTTTTGTTCTGTGGTTTGTTGCCTTTCCATGGGCATGCGTGATTTTGAAGCATGGCATGTTAAATATCTATTTACTCGGTGCAACATCACCTTTTGATTATTATATTGTGTTTGTGTTCACTATAATTCATTAAAGTGTATTGCTTAGGAACAATTGAATGTACTGTGGTTTGTTGCGATTCCACGGACGTGACATATTAGGTATCTATTTACTCGGTGCAACATCATCTTTTATATTTTTGCCAAAAAATTTGGGTATTATATTGTGTTTGTGTTCACTAAAATTCATTAAATTGTATTGCCTATGAATTATTTTTTGTTCTGTGGTTTGCTGCCATTCTATGGGCGTGTGTGCGATTTTAAAGCGTGACATATTAGGTATTTATTTACTCGGTGTAAAAACATCTTTTATATTTAAAAAAAAATGGGTATTATATTGTGTTGTGTGTTCACTAACATTCATTAAAGTGTATTGCCTGTTGATGATTTATTGGTGCAACATCATCAAATTCATTCATTCATTAAAGTGTATTCCTTATGAACAATTTAATGTACTGTGGTTTGTTGCGATTCCACGGACGTGACATATTAGGTATCTATTTACTCGGTGCAACATCATCTTTTATATTTTGCCAAAAAATTTGGGTATTATATTGTGTTTGTGTTCACTAAAATTCATTAAATTGTATTGCCTATGAATTATTTTTGTTCTGTGGTTTGCTTGCCATTCCATGGGCGTGTGTGCGATTTTAAAGCGTGACATATTAGGTATCTATTTACTCGGTGCAACATCACCTTTTATATTTTTCCCCCCAAAAAAATTGATTATTATATTGTGTTTGTGTTCACTATAATTCATTAAAGTGTATTGCTTAGGAACAATTGAATGTACTGTGGTTTGTTGCGATTCCACGGACGTGACATATTAGGTATCTATTTACTCGGTGTAAAATCATCTTTTATATTTTAAAAAAATGGGTATTATATTGTGTTTGTGTTCACTAAAATTCATCAAAATTTTTTTTTTCCCCTGAAAGTTTGCATTTGAAAATTGTCTGCGCATATATTGTGGGACCTAAACAAAATGGGTATTATATTGTGTTTGCGTTCACTAAAAGTCATCAAAATGTTTTTTTTTTTTTTCCCCTTAAAGTTTGCATTTGAAAATTGTCTGCACAAATATTGTGGGACCTAAACAAATGTCAACCACAACATTTTATTCTCCGGGGTCTCTGCTTTGAAAAAATATATAATGTAATTGAAAAAATATATAATATACAATTGAAAAAATACTTGAAAAAAACATATAATGTAAGTGAAAAAAATATATAATATATAACTGAAAAAATACTTGAAAAAAACACATAATGTAAGTGAAAAAAATATATAATATATAACTGAAAAAATACTTGAAAAAAACAATGTAATTGAAAAAATATATAATTGAAAGAATACTTGAAAAAATATATAATATATAAGTAATTTTCTAGCAGACTTTAACATGTATGTGATAAATGGCAGAACTGACCCGGGTTTTGAAGCGGTTGAATTATTGGGGACAATTTGAAGGTCGTAAGAAAATGAAAAGATGGGCTTTAGTTATACTTGAAGGAAGACATCAGCAATCTAAAGTTGGATTTTATTGGCTTTCCGGCATCTGCCACTTTAAAGTAGACGGTGTTGTCCTCGTAAAAAGTCCTCTTGGTTTATCGACTCCAGATAAACGTTTCACTGATGAATGGTGCTGGCTGCAGAACCCCCCCGCAGAACGGCAGCGGAGGCTCCCTGCCAGCAGATTGGGGGACGCCTCCTGTCCCTGTTTTGCTGTGACAACAAATGTACAAATGCAGAAGCACAATCTGTCTGTGCCAGCGAGGACTGGACGCCGGACAGCGCTGCGTGCCTAGCTGTGCTTGGCTTGGCTGCTGACACTCGCCTGCTGATCCAGAGAACAGTCTGATTTTGTTTCTTGGCTCGAAGTCGGCGGTCTCCGCGTACGTGTCTCCTGCTGAAACCTTCCTGATATGGCTCTCCAACGTGAGCGCCGTCATGCCGTCCGGCCAGTACTGCATACACAGGCTTAGCCGTTAGGATTCATGCCTTGCAGCACCGGGGTAATGGGATCCATTCCTAACATGGACCTGGTGGCGTTCTCGTTTTCATTTGCCGTAGTTGAAGACCACCCCAATCTAGCCAATTTTTAAATGAAGCCTTACCCAGGGGCGGACTGACAACTCATGGGGCCCCCGGGCAATAGGAGATCGTGGGGCCCCTGTGTCCTCGCCCACACTCAAATCACACCCAAAAAAGCCTATGAAAGGTACCAGGGACATCTCATGGGGCCCCCTACTGACCCCGGGCCCTCGAGCAGTGCCTAAGTTTCCCAATGGTCAGTCCGCCCCTGGTCTTACTACAGGTTCACACCGATGCAGGGGCGGACTGACCATTGGGAAACTCAGGCACTGCCCGAGGGCCCGGGGTCAGTAGCGGGCCCCATGAGATAATTCTGGTACCTTTTTCATAGGCTTTTTTGAATTTGGGCAAGGACACAGGGGCGGACTGACAACTCATGGGCCCCCGGGCAATAGGGGATCATGGGGCCCCTGTGTCCTAGCCCACACTCAAATCACACCCAAAAAATCCTATGAAAGGTATCAGGGACATCTCATGGGGCCCCCTACTGATCTCGGGCCCTCGGGCAGGGCCTGAGTTCCCCAATGGTCAGTCCGCCCCTGGTCTTACTACAGGTTCACACCGATGCAGGGGCGGACTGACCATTTGGAAAGTCAGGCGCTGCCCGAGGGCCCGGGGGGTCAGTAGGGGGCCCCATGAGATGCCCCTGGTACCTTTTTCATAGGCTTTTTTGAGTTTGGGCAAGGACACAGGGGCCCCATGATCCCCTATTGCCCGGGGGGCCCCATGAGTTGTCAGTCCACCCCTGCCCCGATATGTTTTTAGTGTTTTTTACAGAAACGCGCTACAGTCCATTTAACCGCTTAACCCCTTCCTGACCAGGCCATTTTTTGCGTTACGGCGCTGCGTTACTTTAACTGACAATTGCGCGGTCATGCAACGCTGCACCCATATGAAATGTACGTCTTGTTTTTCTCACAAAATGGAGCTTTCTTTCGGTGGTATTTTATTGCCTGTGCGGTTTTTATTTTTTGCGCTATAAACAAAGGATGATCTACAAATGGCGGTATATATACTGGGATTTTTTTTAAATTTGTGTTTTTACTAGTAATGGTGGCAATCAGCTACTTATAGCAGGACTGCGGTGGCCATTCTGACACTGGGGGGAGCTAACTTGGTGTCACTGACATCAGTGACACCAACACAGTGATCGGTGTTAATAAAAAGCACTGACACTGTACTAGTGGCACTGGGCAGGAAGGGGTTAACATGTGGGGTGATGAAAGGGTTAACTGTGTGCTGTGGGTGTGCTTCACTGTAAGCACACTGCTTTGCATGGCTGTGTTGTGCACAGCCATGCAAAGCAGTGTGCAGGAGCTGACAGGGGAGAGAACCGTTTTGTTTACTAACAGTTCTCACCCCCCCCCCCCATCGGAAATTCTTGGCAATCACCGGGTGCCGGCGAGTAACACAGTCCAAATGCGTTCTGGATGCATGTCTTATTATGCATTTTTGGTGCGTTCCAGTGCAGTTTTATGCTCTTTTGACGCATTTCTGTGCGTTTTTGATGCATTCCGGTTAATTTTTTCCCCTCTCTTTTTCTTCAATTTAAAAAGGGGCATGTGCATTCTAGTGCATTTTTGATGCGTTCCGGTGCATTTTTTATGTGTTTTACTGCTTTCCAGTACAGTGTTGTGCAGGAAAAATGCAGCATATTCTACTTTTTCTTCCGCATTCGGAACGCATTGTAACTGCAAGCACTGATGTGAACTATGACATTGACAGCCCTATAACCTACTTTCTGTGCGTTTTGGATGCAGAAAAAAAACACAGTGGAGTGCATTAAGGAGATTACAAAAAAATGTTTTAAATATGGCCCCGTTCACATCTGAGCGTAGCAGAAATGTGGGCAGAACCACCAGTTTCTGATAACACGCGAAAAACACGCTAAAACATACAACGTGCCTGCGGTGCCATTATTTCCCCAAATGTCGGTAGCGGTTGCGCGTTTTGCCATGCGTTTTCCCCCACGTGACAAAATTATCAAAAACTGTCTGGCGCAGAACGCACTTGGCTCGGCGTCAAAATAAGGTACTTGAGATTCTTTAGTGAGTTTTTGGAGTGCAGGGAGGCCCATTCAAATACTAGTCCATCAAGTGCTATATACTGTAACCGCGCAAAAAAACAAAACACGCTAAAAACGTGATGCAGTTACATCATTCAGGTGTGAACGGGGCCTAAAATATATCTAAACCCCCAATTTATACATTTTTAGAATTTTTTTTTTAAGTTTTAGAGTAGGGAATGGTAAACCCCCAGTCATTTTTTTCTTTTGCCCTATTTGTCCAATTCTGTAGATTTTTCTGCACTTTCTTCACAGCAAACAAAAAAGAAATTCCCCAAAGTGAGAAAAATCATCTTTTAAATAGTTGTCACCAGATCAAATGTCCCCAATGGAAGATTCCCCCTCATCAGGGGCAGGCTGACAACTCATGGGGCCCCCGGGCAGTAGGGGATCATTGGGCCCCTGTGTCCTCACCCACCCTCAAAACCACACCCAAATAAAGCCTATGAAAGGACTAGGGGCATCTCCAGTGGTGTATTTAGGTTTTGTGCTGCCCTAGGCAACAAAAAAATTGGCACCCCCCCCTCCCAGAGAAAGAGCCTGACATTGACCAAGAGCTCCCCTGCCCTCCACTCGAGTCTTCCACTACCACCGCCCCCCCCATACACCAGCCACCATCCCCAATGGCGAGAGAGAGAAAGAAACTCACCTTCACAGCTCCAGACATCCCCAGGAATGAGAGTCGGGCTGTGTATCCACTGTCATGAAACTCACAGCATCTCTCGGAACCTACCAGGTCCCCATGCCACGTGTGTCCCTTCTTCTGTCCCTTCTTCCAAGTGGCAGTGCTGCCCCCCCCCTGAAAAATGCCGCCCCAGGCAAATGCCTTGTTTGCCTTGTGGTAAATATACACCTGGGTATCTCATGGGGCCGCCTACTGACCCTGGGCCCTCGGCAGTGCCCGAGTTTCCAAATGGTCAGTCCGCCCCTGCATCGGTGTGAACCTGTAGTAAGACCAGGGGCGGACTGACCATTGGGGAACTCGGGCACTGCCCGAGGGCCCGGGGTCAGTAGGGGGCCCCATGAGATGCCCCTGGAACCTTTCATAGGCTTTTTTGGGTGTGGTTTGAGTGTGGGCTAAGACACAGGGGCCCCATGATCCCCTATTGCCCAGGGGCCCCATGAGTTGTCAGTCCACCCCTGGGGCCCCCTACTGACCCTGGGCCCTCAGGCACTGCCTGAGGGCCCAAATGGTCAGTCCACCCCCTGCCCCTCATCTCCTGTTTTTATAACAACTCAAAAATCTGGATTTTGACTCTTGACTCATTAGCCTCATTGGTCACCAGGGCAAAAGGGGACGATGAATCTCCCAAGCGGGGAACACAGACAGCCATAAACATCTAACAGATATTCTCTACACTGTCCAAAAAGATAAAAAATAACTTTAGATATACTTTTATTACGTCTTTCTTTCTGGCTCCAATGGGTTTTCATGAAATGTCAAAAGTTGCACAAAATTTCCTAAAATTCTGCCAAAATTTTAACTCCCAGTTTTTTACTCATCTCTGGTAAGAAGAAGCCGTTACAGCAGGTGGGTCTTATATGGCACCCATTTTTAAAAAATTCCAAAAAAACCTTTAGAAACGTATAACCTCATTAGCATATCGTTTTTTTTTTTTCAGCGTTACAGAACATCAAAAATTTTTTTTTTAATTTAGGCGTTATATCTATTGATTGCGGGTTACTTTTAGTTTTACAAAATTTATAATTTAGGCGTTATTTCTATTGATATCGGGTTACTTTTAGTTTTACAAAATTTATAATTTATATCTATTGCGTTATATTTTACTAGGATAGCGGGTTATTTTTTTAGTTTTACAAAATTTATAATTTTGGGGTTACTTTCTTTTAGTTATATCTATTGATAGCGGGTTACTTTTAGTTTTACTTTAGTTTTTGACAAAATTTATAATTTAGGCGTTATATCTATTGATAGCGGGTTACTTTCTTTTAGTTTTACAAAATTTATAATTTAGGCGTTATATCTATTGATAGCGGGTTACTTTCTTTTAGTTTTACAAAATTTTAATTTAGGCGTTAAATTGATTTACTTTCTTTTAGTTTTACAAAATTTATAATTTAGGCATTCTATTGGCATTATATCTATTGATATCGGGTTACTTTTAGTTTTACAAAATTTATAATTTAGGCGTTAGTTCTATTGATAGCGGGTTACTTTTAGTTTTACAAAATTTATAATCTAGGCGTTATATCTATTGATAGCGGGTTACTTTCTTTTAGTTTTACAAAATTTATAATTTAGGCGTTATATCTATTGATAGCGGGTTACTTTTAGTTTTACAAAATTTATTATTTAGGCGTTATATCTATTGATAGCGGGTTACTTTTAGTTTTACAAAAAATTTTAACATTTACCACAATTTTCTCCGGCCTCCCTAAAAAGCAATGTCCATTGCCACTGAGCAAATGTCTTTCTAAAGCTGTCTTTGATGGCACATGTATCCTTCTCTTGAAGCAGTCATTACCATGTGATGAAAGAGCCGTGAAGGTGTCAGATGGGCTGTCACCGACAGATTTGTGCCACTCGGCGGTAATTGGCCTGCCACACCATTTTAGAACCTTTGACAAAATATGAGCCAGTTTTACAAAATTTATCATTTAGGGGTTATATCTATTGATAGCGGGTTACTTTGAGTTTTACAAAATTTTTAATTTAGGCGTTATTTCTATTGATAGCAGGTTACTTTCTTTTAGTTTTACAAAATTTATAATTTAGGCGTTATATCTATTGATATCGGGTTATTTTTAGTTTTACAAAATTTTTATTTTAGGAGTTATTTCTATTGATAGCGGGTTACTTTCTTTTAGTTTTACAAAATTTTTAATTTAGGAGTTATATTGATAGCGGGTTACTTTCTTTTAGTTTTACAAAATTTTTATTTAGAGTATTTCTATTGGCGGGTTACTTTCTTTTAGTTTTACAAAAATTTTAGGCGTTATTTCTATTGATAGCGGGTTACTTTTATTTTACAAAATATTTTAGATATATTGATAGCGGGTTACTTTTAGTTTTACAAAAATTTTTAACATTTACCACAATTTTCTCCGGCCTCCCTAAAAAGAAGTATCTACTGCCACTGAGCAAATGTCTTTCTAAAGCTGTCTTTGATGGCACATGTATCCTTCTCTTGAAGCAGTCATTACCATGTGATGAAAGAGCCGTGAAGGTGTCAGATGGGCCGTCACCGACAGATTTGTGCCACTCGGCGGTAATTGGCCTGCCACACCAATTTAGAAGCTTGGACAAAATATGAGCCAGAGGAGGGGAACACGGCCCACAATAAGGAAGACTGATTTCCCTCCTGAGTCTTTTTTCCCGGCGCCAGCCTCCACGAAGCACTGGCTCAGAATATCTTGTCATGCAGACGAGCTCGGAGAGCCGGCATCAATAAACAAACCTCATTTGTGAGCCGTGTTGCAATTACAGGAAGCGCGGGCCAATAAGTCTTCTCGTTT